TTGTCTGAATAAGTACATGCAGCCCCATTCTTTGGTCAGCCCCAGTAGTAGCATTGGCAACCCTTTCCTCCAGCAAGTGGCTGCACTTGGTGCAAAGTGTTGGAGTCCACTGGGAACTCCTAGGACAAGAGCCCTGGTGTCTTAGAACTGTTGGCAAGGAAACCTGACAGTAGGCAAAGAGAAAGTTGAAAAAGAAGAAGAGTTGGGGACCTGGTGTTCCAACTGGGGGCAGGTCTCTAGATAAGCTAATGTAAGCCTTTCTCTTTCTCCCATTGGGTCAGCTGGATCCTGAGAAGGAATATACCTACGTGCCTCCAACCCAGCCGCCCATCCGTCCTGCCTACGAAGAAGCCTGCTTCTTAAAGAAACACAACCTCCTTACCAAGGAACAAGTCCCCCACCCTCAGCTGTCAGAGCAGGGGGCCCAAAATTTTCCTCTACAGACTGAGGTTGTAAATGCCCTGGAGGAACTGTCAGTGTAACATGACCAGAGGACTGGGGAGAGAGAAATACGCATGTGCATTGCCCCCTGCCGGGTTGAAAGACTTTACATTGTATCTTCTGCAGAAGCAAAGGCGGGGATGATGGGCTTGTCTCCAGAGTTGGAACTTGTGGGGTGGGTCTCAGGGCCTATTGGTACCATAACAGGCCTTTGGAAGCACATCAAAATGCAAAAGAACTCCACTCCCCAATAGACACAATCGCAGGTTGCAGTCATAGGATACAGACAATCTGGCTATCTGTTCTTCCAGAGCAGACTCAGACTTCAGAAGCAGGCAGCACATGGCAGAGATTAGCCAGGGCTGACATGCAGGGCTGCTGTTTTAGTCCTCCTGGCTGTTATGAAGCAGCTGGAGAGGCTGTCTTTTCCTTCCCCGCTTCCTGCCTTCTTTTCCCTTCCAAGGGGGAGAATTTGTGGTGGTTGAAACCAGGGTCATCACCTTACTCCCACCCTTCTCTGTCCCTTTTTCAGTTCTCCCCACCCCCAGATCTGCAAGAGGGTGAAAGCTGAAGCAGCCACAAAGATGGAGTATTTTTGCAGGGCTCCTCATCATAATCACAGATATTGAAAGTGAGATAGGGAAGGGGGTACAGTTTTGCCCTAGACCATATTAGGCCTGTTTGGGGTAAATGAAACATTGCTGGCTTAGGATTTAAGTGTGTTGTACACACAGAGCCATAGCATCCTCATCAGGTCTGTTCTGAAGTGAGATAACAGATAACCTGGATGTTCATATAATGTCAGTTCTAGGATAAAAACTCTGCATAGCTTGCTTCTGTTAGTTTAAAAGACATTTAACTTAATTCCTGGTTAGTTTGCAGCTTTTCCTATTTTATTGCTCAAAAAGCCTAGGAAAGTCCTCTGTGCTTAAACTGCAGCACTTATTTTAATAAAATCTTATCATTTTTTCAATGCTTTCTGCAGTACAGAACTGCCTAGATTTCTCCCCTCCCTCCCCCGCTCCCGAAAGTCTTGCATAGCTGTAAAGGGGACTTTCTTAGACTAACTAACTTAACAGGTTCCAAGAAGATATTTGGAGCGTCTTGTGGTGGAAACCTTTTAAGTCAGCAACATTCTTCATGAATTTATCAGATGTTCCTAATTTCTCTTGCTTAGCCTGTTTTAAGCACTCCCAGCTTAATTATACTGACCATGGACTGTTTGCTAATTTTTTTCTTAAACAAAGCAGATACAAAAGTACAGTTTTCAGATTAAATCTGAATTCCTGGGTTTTCCCATTGTGGGTTTGTACAGTGCATGAAGCCATGAAGTGCCAACCATTTTAGTCTGGTGAGTTCTGCAGAGTTGTAAAATTGAACAGGGGTGGTTTTCACCCTAATGTCCTGTGCCACCTGAAAGGTTCTCCACAAGAAAACAGGTTAGGCTTCCAGAAAGAGTAAGAGAAAAAGGAGAAGAATAAAGATGGGAGGGTGTTACAGGAAGAAGAATAATGGTTCTGTTTTCCCCACATGTCCAACCTGCCTACCAGTAGTTCCTCAGTCTACCCCTGAGGCAGTTTAGCCATGGCTAGAACAAAGGTTCCCCACCTAATACAGAACCACTGAAATCTTCCACAAGATTATTTTTCTGCGCAGATCTTCACACAGGTGCACATTCTAGTCTAGTCATACCTGGAGTTCAGTGCCCCCCAGTCTATATGCCTTGATATCATGCATCCTTCTGAATCCAGCTGTTGCTGTGTTCTCCATTCTCTAAAGATGGTGGCTATACAGCAGAGGCTCCATTTGCATCCATTTTGCCAACCTGGGAATGAATTTGGATTTCACTTGATGCTTCAGTTCCAGTTTGTTGTAGGCTTAACTTAAGTTCCCCTGCCTTCAGGGCTCCCACTCTCTGGCAGCCAAGTCCCCAACTTTGCTGCTTTCTGTTCACAGGCTCCTTGACAGTGAAATCAAAGTGGTCCAGGGGAGAATGCTCAATTGTACAGAAAGCCTCATCACAGATGTAGCTGGGGTTTGTTCCCTCCACAGATATACCATCAGCAGGGCTACAACGACCAGATGGGCTCTCCTGGGTCTGGGAGGCTTGATGGTGGATGACCTGTTGAGCCTCCAAACAAGGTTCAACTCTTCGGAAAGAATGATGGGCAAATACACCAATAAAGAACATCTCAATGGCCAAAGCATAGTAGTAGATCACTGGAAAGGCAAAAGAGAAGTTTGAAAATAGGGTAGCCTACAGAAATGATGTTACATGTTGATCTTCCAGGTCCCTAGCAGTATAATCACAGCACTGGAGGAAACCAGGTTGAGGAAAACTGGTCTATATGTTTTGATTTTGCACAAATGCTGAAAATGGAGCAACAGGTGCAAAAGTCAGCTTCCTTTTTGTAAAATAGCTGCAAAAATACTTTTGAAAATGTGTGGGCAGTGCCTAAGGAAAACAGAAAAGACCAAGAGGGGCCCTATTGTCTTGCAGAACTTCTCTATTTGTAGAACAAATAAAACTAGAACAAATTCAGCAAAAAAGGTGATATACACAGTGTAACTTTGAAAGATTGAAGGCTTCAGCTGCACTCTTGAACTGTTAATCACGGGGCAGGCACCTACACAGTCTTTGGAATGAAACAGAATTGAACCTCCAGAGTCCTCTTCTGCAACTCCAGGTTACGAGGCAAGCTAACA